TTTTTTTTTTTTTTTGGTCCCACCTTAAATGAAATTATGAACATGAATTTAAAATCCACAGATTTTGAAACATGAGGTAATCTGGACCAGAGAAGGGCTGGAGCTTACAACGCATGTCCTTGAATGTATAAAGTTTTTATTATTTTGCTGATTACAAAAGTAATACTGGTGCCTCATTGAAAAATAATTTAATTACAACAATTAATCTTGGTAATCACAAGTTCCTTTGTCTGGTTTTATATTCGTCAAATTATTCTTTGAGTAAATATTCTTTTTTAATGTTTTTGTTATTTATCTTTGAGAGAGAGACAGGGCACGAGCAGGGGAGGGGCAGAGGGAGAGGAAGACACAGAATCCGAAATGGGCTCCAGGCTCCGAGCTGTCAGCGCAGAACCTGATGCGGGGCTCGAACTCACGAGCCGTGAGATCATGACCTGAGCCAAAGACAGATGCTTAACCCACTGACCCACCCAGGTGCCACTGAGCAAATATTTCTTGAAACTACTGTGTATAAGAAAACTGTCAAAGTTCTGAGAATGAGCTACAGGATGGCCCCTAAGATGCCCTTGCCCTTATGGAGCCAGGGAGGAGTAATTGGATAAGATGTAAAGCCAAGTGGCAGAGCTGGGACCAACCCTTCACCATTGATCCCACCCATGTTCTGGGGAGGAAGTTCTGTCCTCTAGGAGGGTTTCCAGGGGTCTTCGGTCTTGGATGCAGAGAGGTGTAGGGAGGAGGGATTCAAGGTTGGGGTATATCTTGCTTTCAACGGACAATACTTCCCAAAGATACCCTTGTGGACAAATTAAGATGTTTAAGCAGGACAAAAGTGCCATCCGGTGGGTTTCTACTGCTCCAACAGCGGAACTGAGCAAGTGTTAAACTACTGCGTGGTGTCCCTCCTTAGCCACAGCCCTTTCTTCTTCAACATCAGTGATTTAGGTCAAGACATAGTAAGCTTAACTAATGAGTTCGTGGAGGAGGGTCGAAGACAGAGTTTTAAAACAGCTCAAAGTATTAGAACCAGGGAGTGAAATAAGAACATGGCAAGCACTGGATTCTCATCCTTCTCTGGCTCATCCTAAATAATGTAAGGATTATGAAGTTGCTCTAAAATTTAGGATATTGACTATGGAATAAAACTCAGTATCTTTTTCATGAATGTGCAAAATGTGTCAAATGACTTGACATCTCCCCTGATTTCTATTTTAAGACCCAGCTTCGTATGGTTGTTGAATAGCATGTTTTCTGAAATTTAACATTAATATAAGATATAATATTAGTGGAACTCATTCCAAATATAAGGATACAGTGCACGTATGCTTGGGAATGAAATAGCTCCAGATAGTCCAATGGATTGAGGCACACCATTTCTAAGCTATGTGTTCAGGTCCAGGTAAAGTAGGAATCAGATGTTTCCTCAAATGTAATCCTCCTGGCAGCCAAAGAATGTGCTAGAAACTATGGAGATTGCTCCCTATATATATAATATATATAATACACACACACACACACACACACACATATCTTCTCTTTCTTTGAATCTTATGTACTAGAAAGAGAAAGGATAGGCTTCACTAATGAGAAGTATCCTTTCGTATAGAAACTAACTTTATTTTTAAAATATATGCTTACCATAAAAAATTTGGAAAACACAGAAAATAAAAGCAACCATAATTCCTTCCTACTATACCCTTCCTCACAAAATAATCACAACATTTTGATGGTTTTCCTTCCTGTCTTTGTTCTCTTTGTTTATATCATTTGACCTAGTTCAATTCCTCTCCTTAGGGTTTTACTGTCAATGGATCCAGCCAATTAACAAGAAAACAATCACACTTCACATCTGTATAACTGTTTTGTTTCACCAAAGCACATTGACATCCATCATCACTTTTGGTGCTTACCTCAGATAGAACAGACTATTTTTCAGGAAACCAAGGGCAGAGAGGAGAGAGGGGGTCTTGCTCCCCACCACGTGGCTGGAAAGGGTCAGAGCCAGAACTGGAGCGCTCTAGATTTCTTTTTTTTT